GCTCTGGACCAGAGTGGGGATCAAGACCAGAACCTCCAAGACCCAAACTGAGAGCAGCACCAGACCCAGATCCAGATGAGGACCAGACCCCACTAGACATCTTAAGACCCTGTGTAAACCTTTTGCGTTAAGACTCATTAGTAATATTTGTTAGGGTTATCTTAACCTAAAAGGTTTCTCCTGGGTATTTAATTGTAATTTGACAGTCTAAAACCTCAATGTCTAAACCCAGAGCTACAAGTCCAAGAACCAGACTACCATTTTAATAAATTTCAATAGAGAAAGAAATACTTTATTTTTGCAGCATTTATTTGGCATATTGTGGAACTTTGCACAGTGACAAATATTGCAGTCATTTGATTGCAGTCTTGTCAAGATCCTATACCAAGAATCAGGCCCATACCAAGGCCATGTTTATGTGGTCTTAAGAAGTCTCAGGACCACAAGCTCAATATTTCCTCTTCATTCTGGATGCATTGAGCTGGTGTCATGTCTGGTTCCCAGTCTTCCTCTCTGTCTTCATGGTTTCCTGTCTTCTATCTACTGTGTTGATTAATAGTAGGTGGGATTTTCTCTTTGATTAAGGTACAGATTTTCCTCTGAACCGATTGGGCTAAAATTGTGCTTTAATAATGTTCTATGTGGTTCCAAATAAATATATGTTTGTGCTGGGTGTTGGTGTCTACTTGTTAATTTGTCCCTACTTTGTATATATTGATGAAAGATAGTAGTGGTGTAAGGTAAGAGAACATCTGAGATGATCGGTTTACATATTTATTTTGTAAGTGTATAATTTAGCCTTGAATGAATCCGTGTGCAATTGTGCTAGATGTAGTGTGTGGGCCTAGCTCGACATGATGAAATCAGTGGTTATAATTAGAACCTGCTGATTATCACTGTACCCTATCCTGTTGAGCTTCAACAGTAGCCCTTTTATTCAGCTAAAAGAACAAGGGAACTCGCCTGAAGAAAGAAGCTGTGACCCCTCTCATAATGTCCAGCCCTGTCCCCACCCTGCCGCCTACCCCTGACTTGCTGTCAATATGTTGTCCTTGTTTTAGATTCATACTTCCTGTCTGTTACTGCCTGTCTCACATGTGTAGGATTGTGGGGCTTTTGTGGGGGTTCTCAAAAAGTCCAAATGTGATGCTTGAATTTCAGTGGTGCCAGAATGCAGGCCAAAGCACACAAACTACAGCCCTCACTCTAGCCTCTAGACATGAATCTGTTGAGGGTAACCACTGACTTGCTGACTCTGCAGTGTTCTGGCTCAGTAGGTCCATCCAGGAGGCCTCATATCAAAGTTAGGTTCGGGTTTTATGCATGCACGACCACGTAAATCTTTGCAACAGCATGCCCCCTCCATGACTGCCATCATGTTCTCTGATGTGTCTAGTTGACCCTTAGCCAGTTTCTCAGCATCCATAGTGGCTTAGGATGGGCCCTCACCCCTCTCTCTCTACCGCAGATCTAGCTGATTAGTTGAGATTTGGAAGTGGATCAACTGGCTAAATAGTTGGAGTTAGATTTGGGGCAGGGGTACTTGGTGAATCAGCATGAGTGGAAAAAACAGCAGGTGGGATGTCTGATCTCTTCCTGCAGACTAGGGAGGGGAGAAGTATTCTGGGAATTCCGCCTGCACAGGAGCTGTAGAGGGGTTCAAGTAAAGAAGCCTGCAGCGTATTAGCAGAATAAGAGAGATTAGTCAGTTGTCCAGTTTATAACACCTAAGCTCTGTTCCAAAACCTAGTAAGCTGCCTCCTCACTGTCTACTGGCTGCATTCTGTTAACGTTCACTTGTGTGTAGCACTTACGTGCTCTTCTCGTAAAACGCAGAAGACCTGCCTAATACCCAGTTGATACCAGAGGTGTTATCGTATTGCTAAGATAATGGCTATTCTCCAAGAACAAAAACAGAACAGACAAATATTGGGTGGGATTTCAATCAATTCTGAAGTATGTTGCTAAGAAAGTGCTGCGCAATATACCGGTTTATCCAGTATGTATTTTTAAAATACCCCCATACCGGTGCGTAGCTGAAACAATTGCTGCTTTTATTCAACGGCCACAAAGAGTACTATGTAAAGTGGATTGAGGGGGGACGTCTATTAACTGCATACCCTTCTTACTAATGGTTATCTCTTTATAAAACCATAATAAATAACCCACACAACTAATTTAACATGGCAAATACCATGTAGAGCCTTTTTGATTTCCATGATGCAGTAAACAGATGGAATCACAAATGGAACCTAGGCTACTGTATAAAGTGGAATGTCGTGGTATTTGGCCTTTTTTTAAAATTAATAAATCTAGTGCTGATAAAGAAGTGCTGTACAATGAATCAAATTGCGATGTAGACTAGTGTCTGACTGCTATTTAAATCTGAAGTCTGCACGTTCTGCGTTTCTGTAAAAGAGTGCCGCATTTTGGCACACACGCGCTGAAGCACGCTTGGCACTTGATTCGTGGTGTTTTCAGTGTCTGCCGTCGCACTATACGAGGACACGAATACATGAACTTGTACATGAACTTGTACATGAACTGAGTTAACTTCATGAGCATTACACCATGTAATTTAATAAAACTATTGTCAAATCATATACACACAGAAACTCAAAGGTCGTCAAGACAACCCGTCAAAATAAAAGTTGTTTAACTTGAAGAAATATAACAGAAATATATTACTATTGCACAGTACTTCAAGAAATAAAAACAATAACAATAATAATAATAATAATAATTTCTGTGTTATTAACTCAAAGATCTCCATTACAGCATGGCATAATAAAAGTTTTGTCTAACTTGAAATAATTATAAACAAAAATATTACTAATGCACAATAGAATGTGCTTCTTAAAACAATAATAATACAATTTATCAAAACATTATTCTAAAGAATATTAGACAAGTTTTCGTACATCTTTTAATTTAAAGAGTAAACTTGCCAAAAAAATTAAAGGATTATTTCGATTTTCATTTGATTTTTGAAAGTAAGTTGTTATATTCTATGTACTCCTGACAGTAAAGTAAGCCACTATAAATATATATAAAGGACCAGTCATGAAAAGAAAAAAATACTGTGATATACTTGAAAAAATCCAGTGATTCAGATTTTTGGTCATACCGCCCAACACTATGCTAAGCTAATGACCAAGTAATTTAAACTATAGAAGAAATTTTGAACTACTACATTTTTGTTCTATGGAACTATTTTCTGTATTTCGCAGTACTGAATGAACAGATTATTGATAAACCGCTTCCTTCGACTTTTTCCACAATATTGGATGTAAATTTTTACCAAGAATATTACAGTTCATTCTGAGATTGCTTTATACATGAAAGATTCATGACGATGCCACTGTTATGTTGTAATCTTTAAAGCAGCTAAAAAAAACAGTACTTTTATTCTGTTAGTGGGTTTGAGCCAGGTTTCTGCTTTTTAAGGAGAACTGAAATTCGTTGCACTGTTCTAAACCTTGTTAGCCTACAGAGAAAGCATTTTCATGCATTAAACCATATTTCCGACATGAAGACCGTTCCACAAGGTAGGCAACTTTAATTGTGCTAGGACACTTAATTTTAGTTCAATTGTAGACAGCATCACATGTATCCTTCACATAAAACAAAGTCCCAGAATGCATTGTGATAAATATACTTATTACATGTGTGTAAAATTGACTATTTTACTTTGTGTGTGAGAATTGTTATGCTCACAGTATCTCATTGTTGTTACTTTAGCAACATGCTAATGTTAGCAGCTACCTTTGTCGGCAGCAAGACAGTTCACTTGGTTTTATAACAGAACTTTTGTCACGGGCATGTTGGGTAGTGTGTGCTTGTAAATGTCCGTGTATGGGAGGGTGCAGTTCCTGTGTGTCCAGGTTATGAGAAGGGCCTCAGATAACCACAAGGACCTCTAAAAGGGTAATACCTCACCCGGGGCAGATAACAGAACAATAGCTGGGGGCGGTTTATCATTCTTAGTGAGCAGAAGGTGGGGGCGGTGTTAACACTCCAATGTCATTTGTTTCCCAGCCTTCTGTTTTAGGGGCTGCTTCTAGCCGTCACATTAAAAAGAGATGATTTGTCTTATTGTGTTGGCTAATGTGTTTTTTCTTTTTTCTTTCTTGAATCAGCTGAGATTTGGCTGTTGTCTGACGCTGTGATGGTGGTTGGGTTTGCAGTGTGTTGTGGGTTAAGGGCTGAGGTTTTGCCTCTCATGCCTGGGTGAAGCGTAACACCCTCTTGCAGCTTGCAGGTGGGCAATGTGCTTCGTGGCCAGCCGCAAGATTCCACTGAGTGGCATATTTGCTGGCATCTGAGCCTCTTTTCTTCCCGGTGCAATCGGTAAAAACGGGTGGGAAATTAATTCCTCTCTCTGAATTTCTTTATAGAAAACAATGACATCCTGTGCGGTACAAAGCATTTCTGATTCATCATTTTCAACCCATTCTTTTTGATGCTTTTAATCTCTAGCCATTCTTGAATTTGCAATACATCATCTAAGTTAGTCACCAAGATAACGAAACCTTTGCGACATATTTAAATCCTCAAAATTCCACAACACTGTGCAATATACCACAAAGATTTGATTGTTTTTGTTTGCTAGGCCTTAAAGACCCATGTACGTGATCCGTGAACGTTGCCACGCCTCAGGCTATTCCAATTGTTGAGTCCTGAAAACAGATGCAGATAATGGATTTCCTGTTATTCATTAGCTGCAGTTAAATTTTTACTGGAGGTTTTTTATGGAAGGACCCGGAAGGGGGTGACCATTATGAATGTAGGCAAGCTAATGTGCTCCTAATAGTTATTAGGGTCACTGTTTTTTTCTGTTAAAAGCCTCAGGTGATCTGGGTCATGCAGCCTGATGCTAAGAGGGTGGTTTGTTCGTGTACATGATCAGTGAAATACAAAGATCATTGTGGATTGTAATTGAACATCCCGCACTTTCAGAAATGCCTTGTTGCTAACTCTCACTTTTTCTTTTTCTACAGTGGCCAGTGCCATGAAACTGAATCCACAGCAAGCCCCGTTATATGTAAGTATTGCAATGTTTGTTTCATTCAGTACTGCACTTTTCATGCTAAAACCCTCTTTGAGAGGTTATATCTACTTTATATACATCTTTTTTTTTTGGTTGCTTTGTGACAAAGTATTAGAAGACAAGAAACCTCTAATGAGAACTTGTTGCTCCAAGGCCTGCTCACATTCTTCCCGTTGGGCTGCATCAGCGTATTTTGGTCTTGATCAGGGGAAAGGGTGCTGGGTAATTATGTTTTTCGCTTGTTTTTTTTTTGTGCTGACCTTTTTTAATTAGATTTGCTTAAGCCATATAGAAGCCCACATGTCAGCAGGATGTCTGACTGAAGACACCACAATGCTTTCAGGTCAATGGTGAGGACCGGATCAGTTCACCACAATAAACCACACTACTTGAACAAATTAGGCCTTGTAGATTACTCTAGTTGCTGTGCATTCATGGTAATGTCAACATCCTGCCATGGATGTGACTTTGTTGACTGGTGATATAATTAAACAGGCACACAGGGTCTAAAATTGGCACACCTGTCAAATGAAAGTTCTCCAGTTACAACAGACAAACTCAATGACAGTTTATTTTGCAATATTTGGATAAGCTTTTCCCCATAGGCAATGAAATTATTTATCTTTTTCCTTTAAGTCAATGGTTTGAATGTAAAAAAAATCTTTATTTTTACTTTAGAGCTTTTTTATATTGTCATTTTTTGATGTAACAGTACAGTAACTCTTATACATCCTTTGTCATGAACTATAAACCACGTCACAGATACTACTGTATCTGAAGCACACAGCTGTGGCTCGTGCATTTGCTGTTTGTGTGTATTAATATGTGTGTGCGTGTGGTTAAAGCTGCACATGTGGTTTTTCCATGTTTAGCAGTTGCAGATGGGTGGCTTGATGAAGCATTGTACTGTTTCTTCTCAGGACGTCTTGATTAACTCGCGGAAGTCACAGACGTCCTCAGTTACTTATTTTAATGTAGATTTTAAGCTGGAAAATAAGATCAAATGAAAACAAAAGTGTAGATGGATCAATTATTGTTCAATTTCAGTTTAAGGAAATTATTGTGTAGGGGAAATGGCATTTAATCTCTCCCTCCCCACTTTTTTCCTCATTCTTTTCTGCACACATTTTTATTCTTCTCAAATGTAAATTATTATCAGAGCTTGACATTAACACCCGCAAAATGCGGGTGGATTTCAGCAGTGGCATGTAACGCAGTCACTCCTACTTGCCACTTTGACTGAATTTTATATATAATACATACATTTTTCAATTGTAGTCTATAAAGGGATCTGAAATAATAAGTGCGATGTAGTGTTGTCAAAAGTATTGATTTTTCTACATCGATACTGAAATATCTGAACTCTACTCTTATATCTCATGTGAGACAAACCCGCCTCGCCTCACTCAATCATTTAATTTGCTCTGGGTGAATATTCCTTGTGTTACAGGGCTTGAATTTCTGTTTGGAATTGCCCATATTGTGCATAATTTGACTCATTCCTGCAGATTTTGTGCTCACAACCAAGTGCGGGCACATAAAGCCGCCTCTCAGTACTAAACTGAGTTATTCTTCTTATTGCACTAAACAGTCAAATACACACAAAATAATGTCAAAATACTGGTCTTGGCGATTATTCACTTAAATAGTCAGTTGTGTATTAAGGGGAACGTAAAAAGTTGAGAAAGAAAAAGCATATGTAACAGTATAATGGATCCGTGCGTCAGATTTTAAAGTGACAGCAGCCTAATATACCTGCTGCCAAATTAAGATAAAATAAAAAATATAAAATTTAGTGAAAATGTTAGTGATGAGTGGCTAGCAGTGTTGTGTGTAACGCGTTACAAAGTAAATTATTGTATTGTATACAAAGTGACGCGTTACAGTAACGTAACTACTTTTTCGGGTAAAAAGTAGTGTAACACGCTACTACTGAAAATTTGGTAACGAAACGTAGTTCCTTTTTCAATTCGGCGCAACGTTACTTTATCATTTGATAGATTTGACAGCGATCGCCATCTCTGTAGTGAACGCCCCAGAGAGAAATGCACATAATGGATTACATAATCAGAGAGTAGCCTATTTCTTTTCGTTTTGAATTGTTTCGTTTAAAGACATTTCAAGCTTAAATTCTATACGTTGAGTTTGGTTAATTTATGATGAGATGCTCCAGTTCACGTGCAATGCAAGTGACCACGCCGGCGCTTCCATGATTATATTGTCTCCTATATTTGCTTCTTACTTATTAAATTCAGGCATTTGGTTGATAAAAATTGATTAAAATTAAGATACAATTTATACAAAACGAAATTCGCTTTAAAGAAAGGCTTTCTTCAAAACAAAACTTAATGAAGTGGTCAAAATCATGTCTGATTGACTCAATGTCTCCCGATATATTGCGCATCCATCTTACTCGCGCTGTTCACTTTTCATAATCAGCATAGATGGAAAAAAAATAACATTATAATATTTTAACAAATATGAAACTAAATGCGCTTATTTAATGGGTACAACACGTAGGCTATAGTAGGCCTACAGACTCTCTATTTGTATATTGCTGCACATTCATTTAATTCTGAATTTTGCACACATAAGTTGAAAGGCATTTGTTTACGTGCATAGTAAAACATATCTGCAACATTTATCAAGTTCACGGATAATTGTGCGTGCATTTATTAATCATTATGATACTAAAATAATAATAAAGTCTATACTATGTACACAAAATCAGATGAGCCCAGAATATGAACGCAATGTGTTTACTTACACGTTAAGCATTTTCCTCCCATAGAAAACCATTATAAGAACGCTTAATTTGGCTTAATGCAGATTAGAATGTCCCCATATTATGTCTTAATAACAAGATAAGTTTTCTTTTTTTTTCTTCACCATGCGGTTCAGGACTTCCATAGAATACAGCCTGAATATAATTACTTCCAGAAATGATTTTTGGGGGTGCTAACGGGGTGCTTTGGTCTTTCTTGGGGGCTTTCTTTCTAGCCCCTCCCTAGCGCCGCCCATGCATATGCCTATCCATTAACCGGCATTTCTTCATAAATATTAAAATTTTTGATAAATGCATTATGCATTTATGGCATTATACAGGTCCTTCTCAAAAAATTAGCATATTGTGATAAAGTTCATTATTTTCCATAATGTAATGATAAAAATTAAACTTTCATATATTTTAGATTCATTGCACACCAACTGAAATATTTCAGGTCTTTTATTGTTTTAATACTGATGATTTTGGCATACAGCTCATGAAAACCCAAAATTCCTGTCTCAAAAAATGAGCATATCATGAAAAGGGTCTCTAAACAAGCTATTAACCTAATCATCTGAATCAACTAATTAACTCTAAACACCTGCAAAAGATTCCTGAGGCTTTTAAAAACTCCCAGCCTGTTTCATTACTCAAAACCGCAATCATGGGTAAAACTGCCGACCTGACTGCTGTCCAGAAGGCCATCATTGACACCCTCAAGCAAGAGGGTAAGACAGAAAGAAATTTCTGAACAAATAGGCTGTTCCCAGAGTGCCTCAGTGGGAAGTCTGTGGGAAGGAAAAAGTGTGGCAAAAAACGCTGCACAATGAGAAGAGGTGACCGGACCCTGAGGAAGATTGTGGAGAAGGACCGATTCCAGACCTTGGGGGACCTGCGGAAGCAGTGGACTGAGTCTGGAGTAGAAACATCCAGAGCCACCGCGCACAGGCGTGTGCAGGAAATGGGCTACAGGTGCCGCATTCCCCAGGTCAAGCCACTTTTGAACCAGAAACAGCGGCAGAAGCGCCTGACCTGGGCTACAGAGAAGCAGCACTGGACTGTTGCTCAGTTTTGCATGTCATTCGGAAATCAAGGTGCCAGAGTCTGGAGGAAGACTGGGGAGAAGGAAATGCCAAAATGCCTGAAGTCCAGTGTCAAGTACCCACAGTCAGTGATGGTCTGGGGTGCCATGTCAGCTGCTGGTGTTGGTGCACTGTGTTTTATCAAGGGCAGGGTCAATGCAGCTAGCTATCAGAAGATTTTGGAGCACTTCATGCTTCCATCTGCTGAAAAGCTTTATGAAGATGAAGATTTCATTTTTCAGCACGACCTGGCACCTGCTCACAGTGCCAAAACCACTGGTAAATGGTTTACTGACCATAGTATTACTGTGCTCAATTGGCCTGCCAGCTCTCCTGACCTGAACCCCATAGAGAATCTGTGGGATATTGTGAAGAGAAAGTTGAGAGACGCAAGACCCAACACTCTGGATGAGCGTAAGGCCGCTATCGAAGCATCCTGGGCCTCCATAACACCTCAGCAGTGCCACAGGCTGATTGCCTCCATGCCACGCCACATTGAAGCAGTCATTTCTGCAAAAGGATTCCCGACCAAGTATTGACTATTGAGTGCATAACTGAACATAATTATTTGAAGGTTGACTCTTTTTTTTTTTGTATTAAAAACACTTCTTTTATTGGTCGGATGAAATATGCTAATTTTTTGAGACAGGAATTTTGGGTTTTCATGAGCTGTATGCCAAAATCATCAGTATTAAAACAATAAAAGACCTGAAATATTTCAGTTGGTGTGCAATAAATCTAAAATATATGAAAGTTTAATTTTTATCATTACATTATGGAAAATAATGAACTTTATCACAATATGCTAATTTTTTGAGAAGGACCTGTATATGGCATTATGCATTGTAGAACTTTATGTAGGCCTACACATTTAGGAACAGATACTGGATTCTGCCCAAAATCAAGCAACATAAAAGTAACGTAAAAGTAACGAGTAACGTAAAAAGTTACTTTCTATATGGGGTAACTAAGTAAAGTAACGGATTACTTTTTTAAAGAAGTAACGAGTAACGAGTTACACTACTTTTTAAAAGTAACTTCCCCAACACTGGTGGCTAGTAACTTTGAAAACCACTTGTCACAGTGGCTGATGAGAATTAGTTTTAATGTTAAGCCCTGATTATGAAAAATTCTTATTACAGCATCTACTGTAATTCTTTCGGGGCATATTGGCAAGTCCAATGGTTTACTCCGGTTAAAGCTATACTCCTCATTTTGTAGCAATTTCTTTCTGGAAAGTTTCTGAGTTGTAGCTACATGACTTGGCTACAAAAACAAAAGCTTGATTAATTTTCAAGATGATGATTTGTATTGGCAAGTTTTTAAGTTATATCTACTTGACGGCTTTAAAGACAAACAAAAGCTAGATTAATTTTCAAGTTAATTTTTATTGGTAAGTTTCTAAGTTTTAGCTACATGACAACTACCGAACAAACAAAAGCTAGCCTTATTTTATAGCAATTTTCTTTAGAAACATTCTAAGTTTTCGATGTGTCTTGAAGGTCAGAGCTTTTTGATTTTAAGTTAGCAGATGTAGGGGACTTCTAGTTTCATGGCGTGGAAGGAGCGTTCTCTGTTCAACATATGACCCAGGCTAATTTGCTCTCCTTAATTATAAACAGAGGAATGGTGGTTTTGGGTTTCCAAAGAAGCAAAGACATGTCATGAAACGTAAGCTGCACTTTGAAGTTTGCTTTTGCACTAAGTCTTGGTCTAAACTTGTTCTGCTAAATTTGAGCTAAATGCAAGTAGCTAAAAGATACACGGTGGTCTCTCACTCCCACAGCTCTCTCAGAAGAAGCAGCTTACCAAGTGTTGTTTTAAGCACAGGGCGAAAAGGCCAGGCACTCCTCCTTTGGCACATTGACTTGCAAGATCCTGAAATAGACCAACGAACAACCGAAGTATCAAAAGTACTTTGAGAACCCCCATGAGCCCGCTTCAGGTGCCAGAAATGCTTCCTGAAACGACTGATCCGATATTCAGCTCAGCCAAAAGATGCTGAGGAAGATAAATTGGATTCTGGGTAATTTTGATGTTTTGCTTAGGAAATCTACCAAGGATTAACACGCTTCAGACTTAAAATATCTCCAGGGCTGCATGCAGCATTAATGATTTGAAGCAAGGATTTAAAAAAAAACAACCATGAATCTCTAAAACCAGAATTCTGTGTTTGTGTACTTGTTAAGTGATCAAGTAAACACAAAGATAAAGGATCACACAAAGACCGGTATCATCAAATCTGAATCTCCATGTCTTATGGACACGGTTGACACAGTCACCAGGGTGGTCTTTGTTTCATTTGTTTATGCTCTCGCCTTTGGCACTTTTCCTGGTCCAGCACCTGCTATCCATATTGGGCCGCCATGGTCTAAAAGTGGCCTGTGACTGACTTGTACATGTAAGCATTAAAAATAAAAGATATTTACAACCAAAGAATGTTTCTGGTTTCTAATATGTAGATAGCTTCCATCAGTAACATATTTCTAGAACACCATGTATGCGTCATAAACAAAGTGCGGTCAGATTCCTACACCTTATACGTGTCGCTCAGATCAAAGGGTCACCATAACTGCTTCTCATGCAAGTCAGTCATATGACCTGGCCATAAAAAGCCCTTCCCACACCCTGGAATTCAACCAATAGGGATGCAAGTTTGGTTGCACTGATTCAAAAGTTATTGTGATGTAATTTGTGGTCTTAATGTTCAGCCTTGTTTTACATCTTCACCTGCTTCTCTAGTTGTTACCACAGCATCAGTAATAGGACATGAGGTGTGTATAAACAAGTTTGGAACTTTGTTAACGTTAGTCAATATGAATAATATTAATTATAATAATTGCTTACCACAACAAATCCAAAACTAAAATTCTTTGTGTACTTTTTAACTATAGACATATCAGCTGCGATTTTGCAGACTCTTCTCCAGACTTAGAATGCATAGGAGTTAATCTCACAAAAAGGATTCAGCCGTGTCTCCGATTTACTCCATGGCGGTGATCATCGTCGGCCAAAAAAAGCAGCTGACTGGCATTTGGCAAGGGCACCATGTGGCTTTTGCAGCCTGGCCAATGAAAACATCTTTCGCTAGGATGTCCCGCTGCTTGCGTCACGCTCTAAAGGTTCTGTGTGTCAGACAAAACTTTGTGGCCTAGCATAGTAGCTAACATTAGGTAAATGCAGTGTGGGAAGGCTAGCTTGTGACTTTGGTTTTAGATTGTGTAAACAGTCATTCTGCTTTGACAGACCTGTCAAACTCATCATCATCTCTCTCTCTCTCTCTCTCTCTCTCTCTCTCTCTCTCTCTCTCTCTCTCTCTCTCTCTCTCTCTCTCTCTCTCTCTCTCTCTCTCTCTCTCTCTCTCTCTCTCTCTCTCTCTCTCTCTCTCTCTCTCTCTCTCTCTCTCTCTCTCTCTCTCTCTCTCTCTCTCTCTCTCTCTCTCTCTCTCTCTCTCTCTCTCTCTCTCTCTCTCTGTAGACTTTCTTGTTTTCATGCCTTGCAATTTGTTGCTGATATCAAGTGTCAGGTGGCTGTATTATGAACTACTTAAGCTAAATCTGGACAGCTAAATCTCTAGACACACATTTATCAAAAGTGCGTACACCAAATTTCCAGCGTACACCTGGCGTACACCCAAAACCACGGTGACTTTGAGATTTATCAATATGGACGTTGGCGTACGGTACGCTCAAATCCTACGCCAGCTCAGGAGGTGGTGTACGCACGTTTTGAGTTAGTGCGGAAATGCGCAGAAAAACAATTCCTAACACCACAAAACGCACTGACAAACTAAAAGATGTGATATATTATGACCAACAACAACAAAATTATAAACTTCAGTGTTTATTTTTGTGCAACATGGACTTCAATGTTTAATTTGTGTGACTTTATCAAACCATTTGATTTGTAGCCATATGTATTCCTTCAGTTGCGAGCCTGTGCGCTTTACCCTGACGTTTCAGGGTTTGGCCCGGCAGGTGCGCACGGACTGGGTTTGGTAATGAAAGGCTTTCAATGACCAAAAAATAATTCAGACTTGACAAAATAATAAATACATTCTTCTTCTTTTAAATAATAATAATAATAATACAAATAATAATAACGACGTTCTTCTTCTAAATAACAATAAGCGTCATTAATAATAAAAATCATAATAATAAGAAGAATATTACAAATTGTCATGCAATTATTAATGTGAATGAATGGTACTCCACATTACATCATCATCATCACTATTGTACACCCCAATACATGTGACGTGATTCGAAATTGAATGCTAATTGTTTCAAAAGACGTGCTGTAAAATAATGCATTGTGATAGGTCATTTCGGCTCCACGTCAGAGAAGTTTCTCTTCTGTGCCGTCTTCCGTGTGTACATGGCGTAAAATGAGGGCGTGGGGGAAGCGGAGACTTGAATATATAGGGGCGTGTTATTCTAATGACGATCGTTTTCAGCCGCGGGATTTATCAAGGGCAGGTATTGCGTACACCTGGATTTCAAAGGTACGCACAGCTTCATAAATCAGGCGGTGAGAGGAGTGCAAGCATAATCTTACGCCAATATATACGCCCGTTTCTACGCAAGAATGATAAATGAGGGCCACTGGGAGTAAAATTCCAGCCCAAATGAACAATTTGGTCCTTTTTCCCGCTCTTTTGTCTGTTTCTTTATTTTTACTTTTGTTTTGTGGCCATGCACCACAATTTACTATTTTATGAAATTATTTTGCAACGTAACATTTATATAATTTTATATTATTTGTAAATAAATAATGAACATTCTGGCAAAAACTAAAATTAAATAAATGGCTGCATTTAAGTGATTTTAGAAGTTTTGTTTAATTTTGTGTTTAGTTTTGGTTCATGCACCTTCCAGCCAAAAACGAGATTTAATAACATGACCTACTATCTATGCGGGGCAAATATAGCTATTGAAAGAACTTGAAAAGGTTGTCAATACCATATATTAGACGTGACATTTAAAATATCTAAAGAGAAAATAGGTGTCTTACACACACACCCACAACGCATGCTGAACTTTTAACAGTAAAGCTATAATTATGAGGGTGGGGAAAGGCTGATGACTGTTTTTTTCCCCCAAGCATTTGTTGATATGTATATAGGCTGCCGCTCTGCCCCTCTCACTTTGTAATGAAACGCGTCTCTCTTAATGGACAGGTGTTGATTCTTCCCTGTTGTTTGAGGATCCTCTAATGATGATTTATAGGAGTCGATGCAATGTGTTATGTAATTTTCTGCACCCACAGGTGATTAAACACTCAGCACTGCTTTAGTCTTTTGAGAGAACATGAGGAGAACTTGCATTTTAGTCTTTGATTGTCAATTTAAAATGCACTTTTGTCTTTGAAACAATTGGATTGTTTTTCGGCCTAATAGTTACTGATAGGGCTAAATTCCTTTCAATATTTAAGTAAGTTTTCTCTCTTATTCAGGGCGAGTGTCTGTTGACTGTCCAGCTCTGTGAGGAAGAGTGTGTCGAGGATGAAGATGATGTAGAGTTTTACCTGCTATTTGCCGGCACCACCCAGAGGCATATCTCCAGCACTTCAAAAATCAGCCATGTCACGCTGCAAGCCGTGTGCCCAGGTTAGTGTTCACAACACCAACGCTCACAAAACACATTCCACTCAAACACAAAGCACGTTCACTCCGTGTCTACATACAATATTTTATCAATGCTTAATAATTGTTAGCTTCTTCCCGGAACCAGACGGCCATTACCTGCTGAGATTGACTAATTTACATTCCAGTCATGCCAGACCTGGTCCAGGCTTTGCTGGGCACGTTGTTGCCTTGTCCAATTATTCAACCTTTAAAATTGTCCCAGTTACCACAGGGCGACCTGCAGTGAGCACATGCTTAAGCTGATCTAAATATCCCAGTGCTGCTTCTGAAGATTCATGTAGTGTGTATATAAACAAGTAGTAGCTATTAATGAGCTGACACATTCTTGCTTAATGTACTGTAGAAATATGTCGAAAGAGGTGGAAGAAAATATAACAAGGATCTATTAACATATACAATTTTATTTTTTATTGGTGCGAAAATAGAGATACATTTGATGGAGGGAACTGCTAAACAGAACTGGAATTATTGGATTGAGTATGTAACAGATATTTATAGTTTACCAAATATTGGCTGCATCCAAAATCACATACTCTCATGAAAGCAGTAGGCACTTCTTTCGAATAAATAATTACTTTGCGACAGTTAAAATGTACGATCTATATAGTGTAAATGTGTAGAGTATGATTGCAATCCGAACAGACCTCATTCATCATGTTGTCATTGTCATGTGACCTACCAGCGTCAGTTGCGTCACTTCACTGTCATTCACAAATCATCTCCAGTGGCCTCATGGGATTAGCCTGGGTTTCCCCATGCTGCCTTTGCGCAGAGCGATTTTTATTCACGCTGCTAGGCAGCCTGGATACCATGGACCAGATTTTCGCCTCAGTGAGTGGACCAATCACAGAACGGGGAGGGAGCAGCAAGACGATGACGACGTCTATGCGACACACCGAAGCAGTTTGTTTATACCTATGGATCAAACATGGCAGCAGACGCGAAATTACCTTTCGATACAGCCTTAGATACATATGCCATCGTGTACACATAAATCTCTGACCCATCGCCTTCTTCCTCATCTAATTTCTGTCGCTCTACATACATCATCTGGTATAATTGAAACGATTGGCTATGAGCTACGTACAGGTGCATTTGATAGACATTTGTAGCACCCAATAAACGGCTCTGGGCATTCGTAAACCACGCCTCAAATACGAGAAAATTAACATCTGGATCTCAATCTCAATGAGACGTGGTCTGACGTTAGCCAGGCTATCATGGGATAGTAAAATGCCCACTGTATGCGCACTTTAGAATCTCGCTGGAAGTAATAGGTCATCTGGGCACTTTTTGCCTTATGTTTTATGAATATGGCCTGAATAATTCAGACATGGAACTCTTTTTCACCCTCTTTGTAGTGTATGTATATTTTTGTTTGTCCTTTTTTTTATTTTTTTTATGAAAAATAAGAAATTAGGGATGCTGGTCATATGTAGGAACCAGTAAGCATCTTTCTAGCAACCACCCACCACAACCATCCATTAATAGGCACAATCCTTTATTGTAATTAACTGATGACTGAATTATCTTGTAAGCAATAACTTTGAGACATTTTTACTTTTCGAGGAACTGGTTGCATTGCGATCTTATCTCATTGTTAAAAGAAATAAAAACACAATAGCCCTCCATATGTAATTTAGCCAGGATTCAAAGTCAAAAGGGAATGCATTTCAACTCCCAAGTTTTCGCGGCTCCCAAGTAGTTCCACAGAGGGTCGCAGCAGATATAGTGTCATGGAATCCAGCGCAGACGTTTGGCACCAGTTTTGTAATCATTACTCCGTCTGAGCACTTGAAAGCTTTTCAGCAATGCATTAAGAGTGCATGAAGAATGGCCCTACTATCGTCCGCCTCAGGTGCACTGCAGTTGGTCTGCCAGGATACACTTTCAACCCTCTCTCTCTGCTGGAGGTCCATACATATTGGTTGATTCCAAACATTCGACTAAGAGGTCTTTATCGGCAAAAATGGCTCAAATGCTTTGAACCCAGATGGATGTCCCACTGAGATGTTTTGGTCAAACAAATGTGGTGCTGGTGAGTGTGAACAGGGTTTTTTGGCAGTGACAGAAATGTCGCTCGCACATAAACACTGCCCTTGCGATGTGTGTTGTTACAGTGACATCTCATAACTGTCGTGAAACAAGACAGGCCTCCTGGCAGCCCTCATAGTGAAGTTTTAATTGTTTATGAATGTTGCTTTTATAGTATGTCACCTCTGACTCTGTCTGTTTCCCTCTTGGAAATGGAAATGAGTAGTTAATGCAGGAACATTTCTCAGTAATTATATCCATCTCCGCTCAACCATAGGCACTTGGTCTCCTTTTCGTCTGTTGATATGTGGCTGCCAAAATATTAAGCAAGATCTTTTTTTTTTAAATCAGTCTGAAGATGATTTACAGGAGACCTCCCTGTCTGATACAAGATAAATGGCTGTTTGAATTTTGTCAGGAGTTAGTTTAGTCATAATTGATTTATTGTTGACAAAGTCATGGAGATGTTAGTGGGTGGTATAAATATTTTTCATAGTCTATAAACTGCACCAAAAATATTTTAACTGGAATTTAAATTTTCATACATTTTAAAAGTGCGTCATAGTTTGAGTTGTGGCCTAGCAGTGTCATTGAGTCATAGTGGTCGTTCTCATAAGTTCAAATCCGGCTTGCATTGCTCCCTAATTCTCCATCCATCCATCCCATCACTTCCATCCATCCATCCCATCACTTCCTTCCATCCATCCATCCCATCCCATCCCATCACTTCCATCCATCCATCCCATCATTTCCATCACTTCCAACCATTCATCCATCCATCCCATCACTTCCAACCATGTTTTACTATTAAAATTAAGTTTAACTATTATAATATTTTTCTGTTTAATGTTCGCCTTTTTCTCTCATAGCTCATGATCGCAGCGAAACCGTGCGGGTCACGCTGTGCCAGGCCAGACCTGGGGGCTCAGTGGACCCTGTGGCTGAGGAACGCTTCCAGTTTGTGCAGGACCTCGCCCTGGACATGGCCCAGTTCCTGGTCAACGCGGTTGGAAAGACTGAGGGAGCGTTACTTCTGGACGAGTGTCAGATCCCCCTGAAGGAGTGTGAAAGGTTGGATGATACTCTGGCTCTTGCTCTTAGACATCTGCCTCTACCGGTAGGCTGGAGCGTGCTGGGCACAGACTTGGACACGGGCACTTGCACAGGCTTGGAAATCGGTGAGTAAAACATAGAGAGCTGTCGGCAGCATCCTAACTGTCATGAAACCACTATTGGTCATTGTTTTGGTATGCTCTGCGTAGGTAGCAGCACATGAATGGCATGGAAGACTCGACTCACAATTGATTCCAATAGAGATAGGCATTAGCATGTTTCAAAGCTTATCATTGCTTTTCGACATTGAATGCAATACAATTTTATTTAAAATCCACAATTTTCTCAACTCTTTCGCTGTCCTGGTTTAATTTTCTCACCAAGCTAGTCACATTGCATTCTGGGATCGTCCTCTCTGCATAGGATGCATGCTGCCTTAAGTTATGTCTCAATCAGCGCCCTAGTTCAGTAATTAGGGAACTGATCATTAAATCAGCCATTTTAAGGGCTGTCTCAGTTCCAAAATCCTTCCAGTGCACTGAAACATTCACTCCCTAAAAAGTCCCACAATGCACTGTGAAAATCCGTGTTCCCTTCTGAAACACGAAACACAAATCATGCGAGCCAATTCAATACACATGACATGATATAGAAGTGTCTTGAAAATGACTGCTTATGACTTGAACTGCTTTTGCAACCAGTGAGAGGTTGTAAAATACTTTTTTTTTTTGCAAGAAGGCAGCTAGAATAGTTATTTTTTTCTTTGACATAATTTACATTATTACATAACATGTTGTTAAACTCTGTATAGTGAAGTTACGATGCTTAGACCATTGGGCACTGTGCCTTCATGGAAGGCCTTCAGTACAGCCATTCCAGTTTTATTTATTTTTTTATTTGTATTTTTTTTAAGTTATGGGTTGGTTCAGAATGTTAGTCCATTTTAGCCTTATTTTCCTCCTACTTGTACTCATATCAAGTCAGGAACGCTATGTCAGATAATCTAAAAGCAAACATTCCCGCCCTAATAAAGTGCTCTTTTTGGCACGGAGCATTTACACAGCCTATTAATTCAGGCTGTGGACTCATTTCGGGGCTGACAGAAGATGCATGTGATAAATGGCAGGAACTCTGGTTGTCACTGACTTAGATTTGTGTTTCATGTGGATTTGGCAGAAAAGTTCTTGTTAAATGAGCTTCCTGTGCTCTCTGGTACCCATAGATTTGTGAATGTTATTCGTCCAGGGGATCTGCAAACATCTCAAAGAACTGGCCCATGCTTCCACTGACTTAAAATCAAACTGTTACTAACCTACACACAAGCAAACATTGCGCATCACAGTCTCTGATTATATACACAATGTTCAAAAGTTAGAGATCAGTTGGATTTTTTTTTCTTCTTCAGAATTTCATACTTTTATTCAGATGCAGGGATGCATTAAAATAATGAAGTGACAGTAAACAATTTATAAAAAAAATATTTTAAAAATCTATCAAAAAATATGGAAAAAGTCATTTTTCTTGAGCATAAAATCAGTATAATAGAATGATTTCTGATCATGTGACATTTAAAACTGAAGTAATGGTAAGCAATCACATTAATTAATTACATTTTAAAATGTATTATAACAAAAATGTATACCTTTTTTTTATATATATACTTCACAAAATGATTGCTCTTTTTTTTGCGGCTCCCCCTACAGACTATAAGTAACTTTGCAACAACATGTCAACTAACACTCATTAGAGTATTAGTAGACTTTCTGCTTAATATCTGCTAACACTTTATTTTGATGCTCCCCCTACAAACATTCTACTGACTATAAGTAACTTTGCAACTACGTCAACTTATTCTACTAACCTGAACCTAACAGTCTACAACAGCCTACTATTACTCTGAGAGTTAGTTGACATGCAAAGTTACTTATAGTTAGTCGAATGTCTAAAGTGGACCATCAAAATAAAATGTAACCATGGTTTTTACTATGTTTATGATGAAATAAATGCAGCCTTGGTGAAAGATTTCTTTCAAAAGCTTACCAACCTGAACCTTTTGAGCGGTATGTTTGTGTCACTGGCTGTCAACCATACAGGAACTAAAAGGGGAAATGAAAATAAACTTTCTGTATGATTATGATAATCAACCTGAACCAAGCTAAACAAAAGATTGAAAAGATATCAGACGAATGCTTAAGGCTGATGCAGTCATAAACTATACCAAACGCCTTAGGAAGCCCCTGTTCTCTGTCCAGTCATGGTGGAAGTTTTTGTACATGGCCACGTATTCTTTTTAGCGATGATCCACTGGGGAGAAATATGAGCCTGTGTATATTAAGTGTGCTTGAATGAGTGTGTGAATCCGGCCGATGTGTGACGATACAAACAATTGCACAGCGAGGAATCATTCATCAGGGCAGCTGACGCGACAGCAGATTCCCGGCTCTCATGTGACTCCAGCTTGTCCTCTAAATTAGGCACAGTCTGGTTCCATGTAGGAGGTGTTAGTGTGGGCGTGGTGAGACCTGGACAGTAGGCAGCTGGAGATAAGGGCCAACAAAGGCTAAACAGGCTCTGTTATGTCATAATAAGCACAAGCTTATCTCTTATAAACAGCCTTGGTCTTAAATAACTCATTCAATAAAACATCTGAAAGCTCCAGCACATATTCATGCAAAGTTTACCTCCCTGAGCAAAAAGGGAGAAGACAATAGCAGAGTTTATCTGGTACCTGAGCACATGTTGGCAACATTTTGTATTTCCTGCATATTTAGATTAAGTTGCTGTGGGCATTTAGATTTAGCATTTCCTTTAGATCTTGCTTTCTCAATGGTCATTTATGCCATATTAAACGAATGAATGTTTCAGAAAGAAAAAGAATTCCTGGAGTTGACCTGTCTGTTGAGGGAGACGGCGAGCTGTGTAATGACTCCCCAAGCTCTGGCATTTGTTGCAGCTGGCGCTGGGCACCTGGACCGGCCCTGAAACCAGAGCTACCCGTGGGCATCTTGCCCAGTGCATCAGTGGGCATGTACTGCCAGCAGTCTTCCTTAAGTGAAATTAAGCATGCTATATAAAACATAAAACCCCAGTAAGCTAATAAAGACTGTTTCCACTGTGTAAGATGGCAACTGGGAATTTGCTGGTATTCGGACACGTTGCATGGCACATATTAGATGATATTTATGGAAAATGAGAATTGGATTCTCCCTTAAAAGGATAGTTCACTCAATTCATTGGCATTGTTCATGTTGTTCCAAACCCGCATGACCTTTGTTCTTCTGTTGAACACAATAGAAGATATTCAAGATGCTTTTCTTTTATACAATGAAAGTCAGGGCAAACCAAAGCAACATTGGACTCCGTTGACTTTCATTGTATGTACGAAAAAACACTTTTCAAAATATCACCTTTGGGGTTCCGCAGAAGAAATAAATGCAAACAGGTTTGGAACACCATGAGGGTGCATATATGATGACTGAATTTTGGGTGGGTGGTATACGTTAATATTTTTCAATGGTCATTAGATTTTGACTGGAATTTGAATTCTATATACTTTAACGGTGCTTCATAGTCTCATAGAAAACTGGTTTCAAAGTGCATTTTTTTGAAAATGAGACCATTCTCAAAAACGCGAATTTGTGAAAACGGTGATGTCATGCGCATGCATATGACATGTTTAGTCTGTAGGTGCATAGTGTTTCTTCACAAAGGGACATCGCCAACTACTGGCCTGGCAGCATAATACAGCATTTTTAGTCATTTTGTGGATTTTAGTACATTGTTGTCATGTAAATACTCTGTAAGTACCCCTAGTTGTGACCTAGTGCTCATGCTAGCAACGCAAGGTCTAATCTGACTTGCATCATTTCCTGATTCTCAAAAGAAACCCTACATAAATTAAGCACAAAAACGTTGTCACTGTTTATTTAATGCCAAGAAACATAGCAAGCTTTAAACTTTAGCTTTGTACTTGATTTTTTTTTTAAATTAATATAATTTTTTTGCTTATTTGTTAATTTGTGGAAAAAAAAAAAAGAAAAAAAAATTGAGATCACTGTGTAAGATAGACAAGAGAAATACAATTCATATAGGTCTGGAATGACATGAGGGTGAGTAAATAATTTCTCTTTAAGACGGGGAGGTTAAACTTCTATTGAATTTCATTTTCATTTTCATTTCCAAAAACATGCAGATACCATATATAGTTATGATACTACAGTTGAAAAAAACAAAACACTATGGTAACACTAGTGTTTTGAGGCTTGGGGACGACAATATTAACGTAGCACAAGGATACAAGTTAGTTGACACCAGTATTTTCAAAATAATGTCATGTCCACTCTTGTGTCTCCAATCAGACTGTGAAGTGATCCTGATCTGCTGTTCTTTCCAGTGCCACATTACACTTCACCACAGCTTCTTCTTTTTTGGTGTTCGGGGCTTCAAATTAGTTGTTGGATCCTCAGTGGGCCGATTAAACGAGGGCAGTCTCATTCTCAGCCTCTCATTAACCAGCAAGAACAATCCTTCCTCTGTCTCTGTTATTTCACAGAGAGCCTCATTCAAGCTTCCTGAACTTTTAAAAACAGCACTCTGTAATCTGTCTTTATGATAAACGCCTTCAAATATGATTGCTTATTTCACTCAGGACCCATCTCTGGTGGGTTTTTCTGTCCTTATTGTAAATGATCTATTAAAATGATGTTTGCATAAGTTTGTCAGGAGATTCTGTTGACAGAGGTCGAGGGAATTGTGGGGGTGGGTCTTGTTTGAGGGCTTTGCCAGCTTCTCATTGGTTCTGAAGTTGCAGGGGGTGGGGCTTATAGCTTTGAAGGCCCCATGAGTGTGAGTGTGGCGCTTTCCTGAAGCAGCAATATCAGAAATATGCATTAGATAGTGTGTTGTTTAAAGGACAAGGAAGGAGATTGAGTTGGACTCTGTTTTCCTCTCCTGTAGAACCTGGGCCACAAGACACACTTTTGCACTTTGCCGCGAAGCGCGGACTACGCAAGGTAGCACTCTTTCTCCTCCAGCAACCCGGAGGAAGAGAGGCTCTCCGACTTCCCAACAAACAGGGTCGTACACCGGCCAGGGTCGCACAGAAGAAAGGCCACTCACAGCTCCAGAAACTGCTGACAGAGTAAGTGTGCAAGAAATTTATATCCTTAACCAGTATTTTTAGCTCATTATAACATTTTTGACTTCAAGGCCCCCCTCCATTGTCAAAGACGATATGCGAAGGCTTCCCAAGATATTCCTAATATGTCTGCTATAATGACAGAGCAGCTCATTTTTAAATTTATTATTCACAGGAATGGCAATGTAATAAAATTATTTAAACAATTAAAATAATTAAATTCCATAATCCCAATAACTAAATGTTCCTCATGGTTACTAGAAAAGGTCTTTGTATTTTTTTTTTTTTTTTTTTTTACAAATTAATTTACATGACTTTTGACTGAAGTTTGTAATTACAGGGAATTTTTTTCAATTTATTATTCTACTTGATAAAATATTATAGAGCTTGACAGTATGTATATAATATTGTTAATAATACCCCCCCCCCCCCCCCCCCCCCAAAAAAAAAAGTGTATGTATGAGTATATATATATATATATATATATATATATATATATATATATATATCTCTTTTTACATTTCAATGCTGTTAAATGCAAGCAGCTGAGTTTATCAAACAGAACATAGTGTTTAGTGGATGTTGTGACCTTTGAAATGCCTTAAACAAATACAGCTTTATCGTATTTGTCACTCTCAAATATAAAAAGTTGAGTCGTAAATGTGAAGTTTGTAAGTTGCAAAAATAATTGTTTTTCAAATAGGTGTCCCAAACACACTCCCAATCTTATATTGGTCAGAAAAAAACTGATCCGTTGAGCTGGTTTGGTTTCTCAAACAGACAAAAAGAGCAATGTTGTACAGAGTCTAATAGATTTATATTATTAAAGCAATGACTTTATCATGAAAATGAGGTGATATTTAGTGTTGTGTTCTGAAGAAAGGAGGATGTTGAAATGTGGGAGAGATAAGAGCAAAGCACAAGGACAGGCCATGTGGCTCTGAGCTCTTTGTAAACAATTAAAGCCACATAAGCTTTCTCAATCTTTTTTAAAGCAAGCCTATGCAAACTACAACAGAAACTGGTTTCAAACCAACAAGATCCTGTCTGCAGATGTACTCAGTAAAGTAGCATTACCTGTGTGTGTGTGTGTAACAGAGATGTTTGCTCAGATCAGCTTCCCTCAGCCAGTGCTCTTCACAGTCTATGGCTAGCAAGTGGTGTGATACCGGTTCCTTACAGTATGTTCCCCTACTTGACTTCTGAAATAGGGCACCAAGGCAGTCTAAAGAATAGAGGAGAGACCAGACTCCGAGCTAGCGCTAGCTAGATCTGTGCTCCCTGGATTCAAGAGTCTGTTATAGGAGGCTGTTAAGTGCTCTGGTTTAGTGCCTCATTTAAAGCAAGTGTACTGAACCACAGTGCACCCTTAGACATTGCCTCAAATCTTTCCATCAAAGATCATGGTATTTCGTTGGTAGTTTCTCTAAGCTATTTTGATGTGCTTTTCTCATAGCTTTCTTTGAAGTTTGAATTGTATACTTAATCATGTTATTATATGAATAGAGTAACGTGGGGGAAGATCCCCCCCCCCCCCCCCTTAAAAACAATGGATTTACTTTTTTTTTCTCATTTTGACACTTTTAGATATAGGTTTAGCATGTACAGGATGATGAATCAGACAATGTGTTATTATATGAAATAAATAGAAACATTAGCAAATTTAGTTGTTACAGCACAAATTGTAAAACATTTTAAAGGGGTAAGATGGGGTAACTTACTGGGGTAAAACTTACAACTAAAAAAACTTTAATATTTATATATAAATATAAATAAAGTTTTTAACTTTGTGGAGTAAAATAATTTTTAATTTCGATTAAAAAGATAAAATTAGACACTTGGGGTTATAATATATAATATTATATATTTCGTCTCACCCCAAGTGTCTAATTTGATCTTTTTAATCGAAATTAAAAACTATTTTACTCCGCAAAGCTAAAAACATTAATGTGTCCACAAATTAATTAAAAGACACAACAATGATATTCAACATAATACAATGTCATAGATCACTATTTTTCAGAGGTACAATTATCTTGCCCCGGGGAAATCTTACCCTGTTACCTTAATCTATTTTTATACAAATTGTGATCTTTTAAAGGGGTCATATAATGCTACATGCACTTTTTCAAGTTGATTGTACTGAAATGTGTGTTGGCAGTGCCTGTACACAACCATCATTATAATGATAAAAATCTATCCAGTGTTTTTGTTTTAATCTCCTTATATGTTTTTCCCTGCCTCAAATCGAGCCGTTCGACCGTGTGACGTCACACGGTCGGACGCCCCTCCCACAATTGTTGATTGACAGCAGCGTTTCAACACAGACCCGCCCTGAGCGAGCTGTCATCATAGTCCGTCATTGTTGATACGCTGGAGCAGAATGGCGTCTAAGCGATTGATGTTCTGTTCTTGGCTGTAATAACGAACACAGCAGTCATTTTGATGTTCCTAAATCCGACCCGCTGAAGACACAGTGGCTGAGTTTTGTTTTCGAAGGGAATATTCCCCACGATCAACGTCAATGCTTTCATGTTTTCGCGCGATTGGCGAATCTTTTCTCACCACCAGACTGCTTTATAAACGAGGGCCAGAGTCAGACTCAGTATAAAGCTGGTTTTGCTAAGAAGCTGCTCCTGAAAAAAGAATCGGTAACTATTCATGTCGCTGCTGCACCTCCAGAAGAAGTGATTGTAAAATTGTATTAACCTTTATATTAATCTTTGCAAATCGCTTGCACGCTTCACGATGAATACATTACACTCAGAGTACATTACGGCATGTTTTCTATGTACGACGTTCTCAATATAATTCATAATCCCACGTTTATAATGAACAACGCGTTATGGTTATTGTGTTATTACAAACTGAGTACGTATACATCAGTAAACACATAGCGTTCGTACATCTCATTAAGTTACTCTACCCTGCCAGTACACAAAGATAGATCAAAGTGACATTACGTTAACCAACCATTCGGAAACGTCCTGTTCGAGCCTTAATTGTCGAACTTCTTTGCGGCCGTCATCTTGTTCTGGGTGCGACTCCGGTTCAAATTGATACGGTTGCATAGATGTGTCTTCAGAGACTCCCGCTGCCATTCTTTCTCCAAAATATACCCTCAACTGTTGTCAAGGCAACACTCCACGTGCCTTGAGTCAAAACGCCCGCAGAACAGAGGGGCGGGGTGAGAGAAGCTCATTATCATTTAAAGGCATATGCACTGAAACGGCGTGCTGAAAACAGCTATTTTTGACCAGGTAAAATGAGTGTTTTCTTACAATACTAATGAGAATTTTTAATTAAAGTGTATTATAAACTTTTCATTTAGACCCTAAAGAATCAAATTAACTTGTATGAAAATGGCATTATATGACCCCTTTATAAAACATTGTAGTGTTTATGATTGCACCTTTTAAAGAGTACAAGGTATAATGCATGATCAACTCTCAATTTCATGCGTTATTATATTTTATAAAAGTAAAATAATGTTTGTATAATAGTAAGTATAGTAACTGTGGTAACAGTAGTGTGCAATTGATTATGAAGTGTATAATATGGCATTTTGAAAACTTTAAAATTCATAATATTTTTCATTATGTATCTAAATATTATCTCATGATGTTACCAATTTAACTGAATCGATTAGTCTTTAAATACAACATAATGACTTGATTAGAAGGGAAATAGCACTGATACATGACAATTCATTCAGCTCTCCAGTGCTTAAGTGTTCTGCCTTTCATAGCATCTGCCATTTGGCTAATGCTCAAACTGCCTAAAATATTCCTCTCAGGTCCGCAAGACCTTAAGAGCTTCTCCTTTTCACTCTGCACTCTTTAGTTTCCTGTGAGTGATGTCACAGGGTTGCTATGGGTACCCTTTGGGCCTTAGATACAGAGTAGGTGGAAAAAAAGTTCCTGTTGTTACCCATGTGTCAGGGCCCTGGGGACAATTTGAGCCTCTCGCACGCACAAAAACACTAACAGTTGCACATTTTCTCTTTTGAAAGCTCGTAGCTTTGTGGGTCGTCTTTTCCTTGTCGATAAGAGACTGACAGATATGTAAAGAAGATACGTAAGATTCAGCTGTGTACTCACCTTAAATCTATTTACAGCTTGTTTGACATGTTGAAACTGCCACCAGGAATTAATTGCGCTGTTTTTCCTCTCCCCATGCAAAAAAGAAAAAGCAGTACAGGTTTTTACACTAGTGAGAGTAAGTTTGTTTTTTCAAATCTTTGTCTAAAGAAACAATTAAATTCTTGTTGTCCTAGCTCACTACAGCATTATGACAGATGTAAACCTGTTTCAAGTTCAATGTTTAAATAAGTGATTTTTCACACTTGACATTCTGTGTTCAATGGGTAACCACAATCAGTATTGTGCATTACTTCCCATCCTCTGTAGGTGTGCTGGGTGTGGCCTTGCTGATTCGATGCCTCGAGACTGGGTGTTCTCAAAGTTTGCTATGTTTGTGTTGGGCAGGGTTGACATCTTGCCTGAGTTGGAGACAAAAACATCCAAGTGGTGTTACCCAGAAGGCAGAGTTCTGCAACACCACCCCAAGCTAAACACTTACACCCTGACGCTGGATGATGTGCCAGGGCGTCTGCCACCTAGCCTTCAATGCGATGTGGAGGAACTCCAACGCCTTATTCAGTCACATCAGAAGGTGAGTCAGTGATTTGAGAGTCCGTCGTGGCAGTAGGTGTGTCTTATTTCCTTGCTCTGCGACTTTTAAGATCACAGTGATATTTCCAGCTGGGTACGATCAGCAGGGTTTGTTTGCTTTTGTGCTAAAACTCTGCAGGAGGTAGCTATCTGTGACTAAAGGAAGTGACTAAATGCAGATCACAGACTAAACCGTCTCTCTCGCTCTCTGTGCACGCACCCTAGCTCGCTTTCTCTGGATCAATGTTTAATGTCAGTTTTAATGAGGACTGTATAAGACGTTCTGCTTTATTTAATAGCTATTTTTGAACTTTGTTTATTCAGGAAGATCCTCTGACTCAGCGTAAGCCAGCACTGCTGATTCTTAACAGAGACTCAAGTGATAGCACAGAGACCGCTGACTCACTGGAGTCTAAGCATCAGGAACCCAACTCTGGACAAGAAGAAACCTGCCAATCACTTTTGAACAGCTCTGCCATTGAGGATGGATTGTTTCTTCATCAAAATGGCATAGGAGATCATGTCCAATCGCAGGACTTGGAGGTGGAGCCTGAACTGCCAGCTGTAGGGGATACTGGGAAGGCTTCAGATAAGGCTGACTGTTCGCAGCGGCGGGTAGAAAGCGGTTCTGTGACTTTCAGTGCCCCTTCCTGTGGAAATCAGCGGGAGGAAGCTGATATAGAGCTCTGCGTAATCAGTGCCAAGCAGGGGGCTGCTTCACAGCCTGATAAAGGGAACCAAGAAGAACAGGAGATTTGCCAGAGGAGTTCAGAGACTGAAACGGACTATAACGCTCAATCTGGCAACCTTGAGTCCCAAGTCATGGGCCACGCACAATCTCAGGGTCTCCTCCCCACGGAAACTAGTCAGCCTTTACAAAGAGAGGAGGAGAGTGAGGGGAGTACAGATCTTAGTTGGAGAGGGGACTTACCAGAGGAAAGGGAAGGGGAGACGAGTAGCAGCCAGGAAATAGGCTTAAACTCTTCAGCACTTTCTTCCCGTGATCCAGAGGAAAGCGGTCATCGCGACGACGAGATTGAATCCAAGCTGCCTACAGAATGCTCAATGAGAACAGATGAAGCTAAACTGGCTTTAATCCAGGTAAATTCAGAGGTTACCTCGTCTGTACGAAACGATGAAACTGTTATTTCTGATGGTGTTGACAAGCCACATGGTATCCTAGAGACAGAGACAGGAAATCTCAGCGAACACACCAAAGGCAACACTGAGTCAGTTTCTGGTTTGGTTGCGGATGACGTTAGCATAAAGCAGAACTCTGTATTTAGCATTTTAGAGGGAGATTTGGTATCGGTAAGTCTTCGGCCAAACATGGCACCAGGACCGGTGCATAAAGTTCGACGAGGACTATCGCCCGTTCCTGAGACTTCCTCCTATGAAGGTCCAGCTGTGGATCCCTTGTCTGAGACTACAGAAAGTTTCCAACAGCCACCTCAAGTCATACAATCTTCAGAAAATGCATCAGACTGTCAGGAGATTTTGCTAAATGACTCAGCTTCTGACATTAATGCAATAGCAGGGGTTTCCGTTGGCATCACTGCGGAGGTTTCATCTTGCCAGATTGAAGGGTCTCTACCTGATGGAAGCAAAGAGGAGGTAACCCCTAATAAGACTATACTAGACCCTAAAGAGCTCATTGGAGATCCGGAATCAATTGAGGACATTGTTGTCTCAAAGTCAGATGACAAATCAAAACCTTCTGATGAACCTTCTCTGCCAGTTGATTCCGAAGTCTTTATTGGAAGTGATTTACAACAGGATGCGTCTACAATAGTGTCTTCTGAACATTCTGGAAGTGATATAATTGTAGGAACACTGTTCGGAGAACAGGCATCTGAAACATTTGTTCAGCCAAACTCTATGTCCAAACTGGTAGAGCAAATTCCTGAGGAATATTCTGCACTTGCCATAAAAGAAAATCAAATTTGTGAGCCAGGGGAACCATTGGTTCTAGCGCCCGCTTTGCAAGGGGAACCAGGATTTAAGGAGGAACCTCTACAGGAAAGGGAAATTGACTTCATTTCACAGGAAACACTCAGCGATCTCTCTGATCTATCGGAAATCACACACAATGATTGTGCTGAATCCAAAGCACAGTTCCAGGTCCCAGAATCCTCCAAGGAGTGTGCGTACACACCATCAGAACCTACTGTTGATTGTGTGAATGGCCTAGAACCGTCTTGTGCCTCCCTCCTAACAGAAAGCAAAGACAGCAGATCTTCTGAGAGCCCCTTCGCTGATGGAGAAAAGATCTCTGCTGTAATTCCCGATGGGGATGAATGTGTTGACATGACTACAGAAATGAGTGAGACTACTGTATCTGGGGACAGCCCATCCTCTCCCATGGACACCACTAGTGGTTCTGCTCTGGAGAGCTCCTCTATGTCTGACCCACTCAATGCCTCATCCTCAACAGCTGAGCTTACTTCCCCTTTGGATATTAATAGTGGATTGCACCAGGATTTGGAACACACTTCCCCAGTGGATTTAGACAATGATTTGTCTGAGGAACTGCAGCATTCAGACACACCTGACAGCCTGAATGGATTACATCAAGATACTCTTGATAGTTTGATAAAGCACACTGAAACCCTTCCGCAGCATGCTGAGGAACTGCATGTGGAACAAATGACAGGTAATGCATTTTTATGTTTCACTCTGCTGATGCTGGTATAGATTGTCTTTATTTTAGGGTGTCTGATGCTATTAACTCTATCTATGTTTTAACAACATCCTATGTAACGGTTGTTTGGATTGTTCTGGAATTTCTTGCTGCTGCTAAATGAAGTTTGTTTTTCATGCCATTCTAATCAAATTGTTCACAGCTAAAGCTAGTTTAGCTCATTTGTGCTATTTTGAAGCTTATTAGTTTTAGCTTCACTGTATTCCATCATACTTTTGTGTGTGCGTGTGAATACAATGGTGTTTGCCTTACAGATTATTTTGTATTATGTGTATGTATATGGTTTTGATCTATCAGTGGATTAGGTTTCCATCCGGAAGGGAAAACCCTTCCTTGTCATTCAGGTAAGCGTGTTAATAGGGAGTGTTTGCAAACAACAATGTGTATTTGCAGCACAATGTATCCTGGCAACCTGGTGATGTCATATGTCTCACATCATAGAATGAAAACAGTTGAAAGATTGTCTTGTGAACTTTTTTTTCACAAAGTGGACGCCCAGCTCTTTTCCACATAGATGAGAATTCAGCATTGTTCTACTAATAGCTCCTTACACGGTGTTATTTATATCACACTCATGGAGCTGCTGATCTCAGTTGTAAAGGAGGAATAAGTCACTTCCTTTTATCAAATGCTATATTGCTGTAATAATGTATCTGAGTGGTCAGTTTAATGGTCTTATCATGATTTGTTCATTTCCAAGTAAACAAATAAACCTACCTACGCAACTGAAATGTTCAGTCCTCTGACATGAATCAGCAGCTGAGTTAATGAATGACTTATTGATTTTTGGAAGTTTCAGTTAAAAGTCACGTATGTGAATTTCCCTGAAACTGTGGGTCTTATTCAAATGAAACATTTTGTTGTTTATACATGAAAAACTAGCCCAATCATCTACAGCAAGTTTCTTAAAATGGCAACTCAATCACTTTTAAAACTGAAAATACAAGTTCTTCATCCTTCTCTCAGTTCCATATTATTATTATTATTATTATTATTATTAATGTCTTTTGCCTTGATTCTGCCTCACAGATGACGGCACTTTAGCAGAGGATGCGGTGGACGGACACCAAGACTCCTTAGCAGACATAGCGAATTCCGAAGTGGTGAGTATTCTTTGGCTATAATCCTCAACCTGCAATCCAATAAATAAATCAGTAACATTTAGACCTCTTGGTGTGAGTCACTCAACATTTGCTTCCAGCCACCCTGAATTCTCAGTAGCTAAGAAGTTAGGTAGTAGTTTCCCGAAAGGCTCCACTGGCCAGAAATTGAGGGATGTATTTAACCTGACCTTCTGTCGTAAATCTGATTTCTCCGCCTGGTTGCTGAAAGTCTTCTGACGCAGCTCTCAGTTGGAACTGCTGAACTGTCCCTCATAAGGTCAAACTGGCAGATATGGGAATGCTGCCACCCTGCAGCTCACACTGTCGTTGTGTGTGCGTGCTGTTCTTTTCTCATGGAGAAAAGATGACATCACCCTGAGGCCTGAACACTTTTTTCCCAGTTGTGTGTCAGAGGGATGATATCAGTGTCTAAAATACTGAGAGGGTGGAAGGCAAGATGTGATAGCTCATTTACGCAGGCCAGCAAGAGTGATAAAGGGAGATGTCTATCTTCAGTCTTTAAAAGCTGCTGATTAGAAGGATCCTCCTCCATATCGCTAACTTCAGTTGTTTATTTTGTCATCGTCCTGTGGAAATCCATATTGTTTTGGCAGCTTCCTGTGCCTCCCAATTTGGGAGAATCGATTTGAATTGATCTAAAATGAGTGTTGAGGAATCACTTTCAGAATGATTTTTTTTTCCAGCTGATGAACAATAAAAACATTGACTGCCAATCAGAATCCACCCGACTTTAAAGAGCATTTAAAGTGCCGTACGACAAACCTGCATCACACTCTTATAATAAACAGAACATTATCATACGATCGAGTGTGGATGCTAATGTAGTTTTTGCATAGTTATCTTTTATAGTTATCATTCTTGGTGTCAATGGGCCTTAAGGCCGGGACACACCAAGCCGACGGTTGCCATTGGGCAACTTCGGGCCGTTTTTGAGTGTCGGTTGACTTAGTTTAAGTGTGTTCTGCACCATTGTCTCTAGTTGGACGCCATTGGGTGTGTTGGGCTGTTTCAGCGTGTTGAATCGGCGTCGGGCCATCGGTGAGTGAGAACTCTGATTGGCTGTTAAGTTTAGCGAATGTGATGGATTTAAAAAATAAAATATAATAGTAAACTGTATTTTAAACTTATCATAATTCTAACATCTAACCTTACTTCTCCTACAGGCCTAACATTCTAACACGTGAACAAAAATGTACTCTGAAGATTGTTGTGTTGAAACCAGTGATAACTTTGAGATGCTGGCTAGACAATGTCAAAAATATAAAAGTCTATAACAGACTCATGACATATTGAGTAATCAAATGAACTTCTAACCTCTTTGAATGATTTGAGATCTAAATTTGCTCTGCCAGTAACAGAGAGAGAAATGGGGGCTTGTTTTGCACAGATTGAACCAATCATATTGAAGGAAAATGACCAGGAGTAATAAATCACGTTAATCTTACTGTTGTAAAAAAACCTGATGTATTTTTAACCTTATTTTTAAGAGAGATTCTCTGAGAAATGCTTGAACTCTCTCGCCGTGATTAAATAATTTAAATGGCATTTGCTGAAGTCTGTCTGGTTATTATTGCAGCAAGTTAGTTAGTGGAGCAAGTTAACAGATTAGTGAGACACTAAAGACCTTATTCCCGAGTGATAGTGTCAAAAGGGGCGAGACATTGTTCAACTCAGTGTGAGAATCTTAGGCGGGGTTAGATTGCAGTCAGGTAACTATAATTCTTAAGCATTTTATGCGGTTAGAATAGCTACTCTTAGGCGTCAACCAACGTGGTGAAGTCACCTGAGTATAATTTTTGCAGGTGTCAGGGACACTTGGTTTAGGTGCGGTTCGGGGAAAATCTACCACTCTACTTTTACACTTATCTGCCATCTGGCATGCAGATTTGGACTGCATCATGGGGTCGTGGAACTATATTGTCAGCATTTGAAAGAAATTACACTCTGGAACATTCTATCTTAAGAGACTCTAGAGATAAGAGCAGGGGTCACATTCACAGAGCATCCTAACTTTGTGCTAGCATGCTAACTTTGCTCCTGCTTGGCAAGATCACAAGAAAGCTAGGTTCTTATTATTAGCGGTGCTTTCTAGGCAGTGTTAAACTTAGAACACATTTTTAAGATGAATGGTTTGAATCATGTTTGTAGTGATTTTTGTCATTTTAAGTTGTCAAACGTAATGCTTCTGTCAGTTAATTTAAGGAGGCTGGTTGGAAATAGGATCTGAGATCACTTTTTTCAGTCTAATCTGTTATGCTGACAAATGCTAACAAGTTTTTCCACATCAAAAAAGCTCAGTTCATGAATTGTTTTGTCATTGCCCTTGCTTCCAACAGTGGGCATCGTGATATCCAAGTTATTTTTGAAGAGGCTGAGGTGATTGTATTTAGCGTTATCATGTTGTCACTGCTTTATTTTTATTTTTTACCTTACACCACTGAATCATTCACTGTAAGACCAGGAACATGCTTTAGGGGCATACATTGATTTGTTTTTGAGTTCATATTGACATTAAAAAAATTAACATGCACTTTATGATGGATGGATTATGGATAATAAGTGGTTTGGTTGTTTTTAGCTTATCCTGTGATGTCTAGAGTGCTGTGGCTCCCTCTTGTGTTAGGATGCAATATAACTCCTTCCAGATGTGCATTGAGCTGTCTAGTAGTCTACATATGTGTTAGAGAGAGAAGCAAGGGCAGAATACACAGACTGTGGTCTCAATATGCCACCAAAAGCATGAGGGCTGCTTGTTCTCTTTCTTTCTTCGGCTCTTTTCATCTGTCCTTGTGCAGCAGGCCAGATGCATTGTGGGAACCCCTCTAAAGGAGTTTCTTTTTCACTAAACATCTAAACTATTAAACCACACAAGCTGCCCCTGGGAAACAGTTTCTCAGTGCGCACACTCACAAACACGCACGCAAACACAAATCCAGTGTGTAGTGTGTTGGAAAAAGGGACAAGGCTGCCTCTCAAGTGCTGGAATGTGAAGTGTAAGAATGGCGTGATGTTGAAGAAAAGCAAAGGGCTGGTGTTGGTGGAGTGGGAGGATTGAAGACACCAGTGAGGCTGGTCAGGATCCACACACACTCCTTTTGTATTGTTCTCGCTCGATTTCTGTGCTTCTGCTCACTCTTTTCAAGTCTTCCTCCTTTTGTGTGTTCTCTTTCCCAGCGTTAGTTTGTCCAAAAAGTCATTAAAAAGTAATTTACCTTTGTTTTAATTCAAACCCATATGACTTTTGGAACACAAAAGGAGAAATTTTGGTCATTTCATTGCATTTACAAAACTAAACAAAAGCACTATATTCTTCTGAAATCACAAGATGGTTTTATGTGACAAGCTGACTAATATTTAAAGTCATGATGTAATGAAGGTAGCAACAGATCTTTTCTTTCATATTGAAACTTGCATCCTGTTGAACCCGATTAACGAGATTGAAAAAAAATGATGGAAACATATGAAAAGATCAAGTACACACATTTAAAAAACAGTTTCTATTTCATGCTAACTTTTTCTTATTCACTGCTAATTTTTTCCTCCAGTGAGCTGTTAAAGGTGCTCTACGTAACTTTTAGCGGCCTCTAGTGGTGATGTTTCAGATTGCAACCAAATTTTACAAGAGCGCTTGTGCTCGAACTCATAGACAATACCGTCTATTACGCAAATATCTCGGCGAATACTTGACGGATTCGGCGAGCACCGAGCTCGTTGGGACCATCTAGTCGAGCTGAAAAGAACCATATAAGTTCCATAGTTTTTGGTGGTGTTTTCGCGGAGATATTAGCAGAAAACCATCGGGCGCGCTGCAAAAATTGCGGACGCCGTTGACGTCACGATCTCAGAAGAAAATCGCTCGTATCTTTGGAATGCAAAGACCCAGAGAGCTCAAATTCGGGGGAGGAGGTCCTAGGGGGAACCCTTGTCCGAACGCTAGAGTGGCGGGCCTCGGGGATGCCCCCTACCGGATCGCCGTTCGCTGGGACCCCCGATTTCGAACGGCTATAACTCGGGGAGCCGGGCGAGTTGGACCTCGGGGGTGGGCTCGTTCGAAAGGCCCCGTCCAGCACTACGAACGATTAGAGTCTTGGGAATATTGATCAAAGATTGACTGAGATATAAGCCGAAAAACGTGCGCTTTTAACCGGACGTAACTCCCTGACCGTCTACAATAGACTGTATATAAGGAGAGAGGCTCGGGAGCGCGCATGCACGTCACATCCGTTGGATTTCGCGGTAAATCCGACCCGGAGACTTCACATAGAAATAGCAATACTGGCCTTCAGAGGTAATAGCAAAACTCGACAAGTGGATCATTTTAATGTGTGATTACAACCCCTTCACACACAGGCAATAAAAAAAGGATTCATTTTAGTAGAAAAGTTACATAGAGCACCTTTAATTATTGTGACTGGATCAAGTCATCGAATTTGAGAATATGAGAAGTGGGTTAGTCAGCTTTGTGAACTCAAAGCAATGATTCCGGCATGAATTGTATATCGCTGCTGCTTTCATGGCCGTCAGTATAATCGGCCAAATTTCAGTGTACTATTAACATAAAGCTTACCATATGATTTCGGAAGACTCTTGCACATTTAACTATTGCAGACTATTGCACATACATACAACTCATATGGGCCACTTTTATGGTGTGTTTTTGAAAATAGAATCCAGGATATTCTTGCATTTCACAGAACAGACATGAGAATGAGTAAATAATGACAGAATTAAACATTTTTGGTCAAGCTATTCCTTTAAATCATAGTTTGTGTTGGATGACTGGTCTTGAGTGAAACACAGAGATAACATGCGCCGAGATCCCCACAAAGAGCCCTTGTTTCTTCTGTCCCCTCCTCCACTGGATAATCACATGCACACATGCAAACACACAACACACAGTAAAGACTGAACTGACTGCGTCAGAACAACCTACACAGTTAGCTGAATATCTGTTTCTCTCAAGTACAAGTTAGAACGTC